AATTTATTATTATATTAATGGATAACCCAGCCATACATTAATACACTTTATAATGTTGGTATTGCTGTTTAAATGAATAAAATGGAACTGAAATTGTTTTAAAACTATTAACCCTTTGTATAGGTTAGGTAGTTGCGATAGAAAAGAAAAGGCCGGACAGTCGCAGAGGAGGTGGGTCACGGTTTCTTCCTCCTCCACGTCTCGATAGCTTCTACAGGAACTGTTAAAATTGTTAAAGCCCTATCTAACCTAACCCTTTGTATTAAGGGACAGTTTCCTAATAAAATAGTATTAAAAAAACTTCAAGAAGTTTGCCAATATTGGAGCATTTAGAAAACTTTATTTTGACAATATTTACCAAATGAACAAATTCAAAGTAGTTTTCAACCAACGCTTCCAGTATTCAAGAAAATATGAAGAGTGCGGAGGACGACAAAGTTGCAGTTGTTGGGTTCTCTCGTTGGATTCTTTTATTTTTAGCAGAAGATGCACTCTTCGCGGCTGTCAACTCAGTTGCTGCAGGCAGTGTTGCCAACGTTGCCACTAATTAATATTTATTTTTGAGAAATTTATTTTTAACAACTGACCCTAATAATTTCTGTCGCATCGCTGTTGCTGTCTTCACCCCTGTCTCTGTCGCTGGCTCTACAACAGCTTCCTCGAGTTCTTTCTGGGACTTGTGCACACATCTTTGTTTATTGTTCTTATTGTTGTTGCTGTTACTGTTGCTGTTGTCGTGCCGTGTTTTCATTTCTGACAATTTACAATTTGTTTATTTTTAGCCGTCTTTTATGTGGGCACGTAATTAATTTCATGTGCTTTGCGGCTTGTCAAAAGTTCTCATTTCTCATTTTCTCTAAGCCCGATTGGCATAATTTTAATTGATTGCAAGAATTCTTAATTTCTATTTAGCTCGCGGCACATCTGATATGTTCCCCCTGGTCTGGGAATTTTGCCAAAGTGTGAACTGTGCTCACACCTCTTGCTTTATGGGGGCTAAGTGCCGAAAGAAATCGATTTGGCCGCCGGGCCCAAACCAAATACAAAATCGTACATAAACGTCGCGTCGCTTATTTGTTGTGCGTGAATACGAAATACTTCAGCAAGATCGATTGATTGATTTCAATGCGAGGGGAGAGAGGAAGCAAGAACCTATGCTCCATGCTAGCATAAAGATCGTTTAGTGCTGACCCAAGAAATTAGCGCAACTGTTAACCGAAAATCATAAATACCGAACTATTTTGGGGCAACTGAGGAAGTCATGCCCACCCGAGGCCAAATGGTTGTCGTGCCACTCGTCAGCCGTGAGACTTGGAGCCACTTGTATAGCCAGCCAGCCAACAACCAACCAGCCAGCCAGCTATGTAAATAATCTGCCATGGAGAACCAACTAGCTAACTACATATTTATTTAAATAGCTGTGCACCGATGAGTTTTCTAAATGAGAGAAAAGGTTAGCCACGAGATGATGAGATGATTCGCTCTCCATCATCTCAAAAGTTGCAGCGTTTGAAATAAAAAAAGGTGCGGCTTTGGGGATAGGTTTTGAAATATGTGTTTGCAAATAAATATGATGGTTCTTTCGTTTGATTTAAAGTATACCATTAATTAACTCTCCATTATTTATCAATATTATTTTTTATTAGCATTTTTTGATGGTAACTTATTAAGAACGTATTATTTCTGCTTAGATTGTAGTGGGGATGGTTTTTAATCAGACATTTATGTTTGGTATTCTTCACATTCTATACACACTTTAAACTTAAATTCTGCATCAAGTTTCCCTCCTTTGACAAAACTATATTATTAGTTAATAATTCATTACTAGATGAGAATCAGTCAGAAGAATTGGCTCTCTTTTATTTACGTTTATTTTTTAGGCAACGCCTAACAATAGTATTATATCAAATGTTAGATAGGACAACATCCAGTTCAGTTTATTTATCTTTTGCCTACTGGAGAAGATCGCCAGGTTTTTGCTTCTCCGTTTAACGAAACTTCCACCACCTCACCTCCCATAAGTTTCTATAAATACACTTAGTAGTATTTAAAAATCAAATCGGATTTTCAAAACATTGTAGAAATCGTTCTTCATCCGACATAAGCTTTTTGTAACACTCTCACTGACTGCTTTTCCATTATCTGCACATTTATATCTTCTCGGAACAATGCATCATTCATGGTTTCTTTGACGAGCTACTGAACTATCAGAAGACGATAATGTCACGCACTTATCGCAACACATATCGTCACGACACTACCTTTCCGCTAATGTTTGTTTTTTAAGAACTCGTGGAGCAGTCGCAGGAGAAATAATACAAATATTTTACAAATCTATTAAGTGTAACTAATAATAGAATGGTAGAAGCCATGTGTGTCAACACAAGTGCAATAGCAACTGTTTCAATAGAAAAATCTATATAGTATAGTATAGATCAGCAGGCGATCGGCCAATAATGTCGTTGAAAGTTGACACACTGGCCCCGCTTCTAAGCAGTTCATACAGGGGCAGAGACAAAAGTCAACAAATTAATACATTAATGCCTAAAATTAGCCATAAAAGTTGAACGCTTGGGGCTGGGCTTACAAAACTTTCGTTCGAACGCGTTCCGTATTTTCTAAAACAAACAACAGAGACAGATAAACCAACAAACAAACAGAAAAGACGACAAAGAAAAACTCTCGCTTTCTCGTGACATTTTTTTTTATAGAATTTACGGCCCGGCCAGTAAAAACTAATTAAAATAACAAAAACCAATCAAAGCAAAGAAACATAAACCCAAATAAAATACGCAGAGTTCCAAAAGAGCCACGAGGCCACAGGTAGAAAGAAACCGTAGCCAAAGAATTCCAGTAATAGGCGTTTGGGGAAAAAGTGAAAATCGTTTCGGAGGCGGCACAAAATACTGCACACAGTGGAAAAATTTACGACAAATAACGCCCAGGCGGTAACTTTTATTATTAAATTTTTATGCTCGAAATTTGTATTTAATAAACATAAAATCGAGGCAATAAAAAACGAAGATTCTCCAGCATTTATGTGCGTGTGTGTGTGGGATTATACCTTTAGAAAAACTGAAGAATGCATAGCTATCAGATAATACAGTAGTTACTACTTACAATAATCGACAACATTTAAGAACGACTACGTATCCGTTGCAATGTTGTTTAATATTTCAACGAAATGATTCCTAAATACTGAAGAATTCTTTACAATTGAATTGACATTTAAATGTTTGACAGCTTCGAAAAGAAGTTCCCCAAAACAGTCCCTTGCCATTCATTGAAGCAATTAGGATAAGGTATACTACTTTTTGAGAAATTCTTTTACTTGATAAAATTTATATGATTTCAAGAGGGTTTGTAATTGACATTTTAACTTATGTTGACATATCTAAGCATTAAATAAAACATTATTCGAAAAATAAACATTCAATGGCAGTGTTTGTATAATAAAAGTGAATACATTAGTGAAACATTACAAACCTATTCTGAATCGAAAAAATATTGCTTCAGTTTCATGAGAAATTAAAATTAAATTGAAACCTTGATAGAAAACATGTTTCCATATGCGAAACGAACTCATTTCTTATGCTGTGATCATAAATAGATTTATAACAATTATTTAAATTAAATTTTTTGAATGCCACTACAACAGCAATCGAGCATTTTGCTATTACCTGAACTCATTTTCAAGTATTTATCGTTATTTTTGCTCATTTCCGCGAATGAATCTCATTTCAAATCTTTTAATTAGGCTTCGGCTCTTACCTATCAATATTTGTTTTACCTTCACGATTTTGAAAAAGGTTGCTGATGGCTTGGGTATGATTGTTCCACTAATATTCGCTGATTATTTTGACAATTTGCATGAATTAAATATCGAATTTGTTCGATCTAAGCATTTATGTTAAATTAAGAAAGCAAAGCGAAGAAATAGTATAGGAACTAAGCGAACAAGTACTATATATAAAGACTGCCTAAACAACAACTGATAAGATTAATCAACATAAAATTGATCGAAACTAACACTTCTTGACAATTAATAACTAAATATTTTGGCAATGCTACACACATTAGGAATGCAAGCAAATTAAATGAAGAATATAATTGAATTGGATAAATTACTTGTAGTTTAGAAACTTTTTCAAATAATATAAAAAATGAACCAATTTGAAATATATAATACATATATAGGCATCTGCGTAATCGATATTCTGATTAGTTCGAGATATTCCAGCTTATTTCAGGAACCTTTTCCATATGTTTTTAAAAACACCAATATTTATAAAATAAAATAAAAAAATCAGATGGTGGAGAATTTGTACAATTATTAAATGAAATCAATTGTGTTCTAATAGCATATTATTTTAATTTAAGTACAATTTTATAACATTTGAAACATGCTAGGTCAGGTAAGATAAGGTTAATCCTGTGGATCACGATTGGGGGCCCCACATCGACCAAAGTTGCTGCTTTAGATATGTGAAATTAAATTATTAATTTTGTTGGGATTTTAGAAAACTCATCCACGTCTAATTCTTCTAACTCCGAGTAACTGTTTAAATATTGAGAAATCTTGATGAACAATTTTTAATTTACTCCAGGAAATAAAATAATACACTTTTTAGTCATTTTAAATTTGATGTTAATCCTTGATTTTTTCTATACTTGTATAGGTACTGTATTATAGGTACCATTTTAAAAAAAAAAGACTAATCATAGAGCTGATTGAATTGCTCCCCACATTTACAAACATAACTTTAAAATGTCAGTTCATTCAGCGAGTCTCCACTGCACTTTTAAAGAAAATTCTTCTATTTGTGAAGGTGCGAACGTACTAAACGAAAGAGTTATTTACTAAACATAAATTTTAGTAAAACCCAGAGCAGAGCAAGTGAGCTTCTTGATTTATATGGGCTCTGTCTAAGAACAACAAAAATTCCTGTCACCTCAGCCCACCCCCACCCCCCACCCCACACACTTGGCATTCTACTCACCCGATTGCATTCCAAGGCGGCCGCGCTGTGCTCCTCGCGCTGCCGAAAGCAGTGACTGCATTTGCTCTTGTTGAAGATATTTGGCGAGAATTTTCGACAGTCGGCGCTCCGTCCCGTTGCTATCGCTGTTGTTGTTGTTGTCGTTATGGTGGACGTTGACATGTTGGTTGTTGTTGCTGCTGCTGCTGCTGTTGTTGTTGTTGCTAGAGTTTGCATTAAGTTATCAACACAAGAAACCAAAGACTAAACGTATGGCAACATTTTGGTTACAAATTTGGAATTTTCTCACACACGACACGCACACGCAAAAATTTCAATAATTTTGCACTATTTCCGTTTTTTTTTTTCCTTTTTGGTTATACTCGTATACACACTTGTACGTAAATATGTATATTCGAATAATTTTTATATGGCTTTTAACGCATGCGGCACTTCATAAAAAATACCAAAAACGAAATAACAAACACAATGTGTTTGGAGGGAGTAGCGTAAGAAGAGCGAGCGACAGAATGTGCGAGTAAGCGAGAGAGGGGCAGGGAAGAGCGGGTGGCAAATGCGAGAATTTAACACGTTTTATGTGAAGCTTTGGCTACAAACTTGTTGTTGCTGCTGTGTTGTTGTTGTTATCGTTGGCTGGCTGCCTCACATATTTATGCAAATGAATTTGAGATGCTGCCTGTGGTAGTTGTTGTTGTTGTTACTGTTGTTGTTCCTGTATTGGTGCCAGAGTAGTGGTGTTGGTGGAGCTACAAAGCAGAGTACACAGACACACATACACGCATACAAATGCACAACAACTACGACGTTCTGTTGTTGTTGTCAAAGAGCAGCGCCAAAAAAGCTTTAACGTGCAGTTGTACAAGTAGAAATGCTTGTTGTTATTGTTTTTAATTAGGCTTTGCTAATTACCCATAGCGGCAGTTGTAATAGTTGTTGTTGCTTTTATTACTGTTCTAGTTGATAGCCGCACTAAAAATAGCCGTCAAAACGTTTCATTAACTTCACTTGTTACTACTACTACGTTACGTTGCGGTCGTAACTCTTTTTCAACGGTATCGTTATAAGTTAAAAAAATATATAGAAATAGCTGCCTAAGCATTCATTTTAATATTATTGTGTTATTTTTTCGGCAGCACAAACTACAAAAATGGTTTTATTTCGTTTTGCTTTGCTCTATGCTTCTTCGCATGCTGCACGCTTTGCGGTGTTTTTTGTTTTGCAGAAACTCTCGTTTACGTTTTATTACTTGATTGCGTTCGCGCGCTCTTTAGTTTCGCACAACGAATCGGTTCGAATGCAGACACGGCACTGACTTTTCTGTGTGTTGCTCTGCGCTATGGAGCCATAAGTTGGAGCATGTGCCTGCAACATGTTCCCTGCACAGCGTGTTGCACAACATGTTCGCTAGCGTTGCGCACTGGTATGACAAGAGAGATTGAGGAAAAGAGTAAATGTGCGCACGCTCTCTTAAAAATTGTATTGCGCGGTGCACTTGTTGCGCATTTTTTGAATTGGCGCGTTTCGTTATTACAGAAATTTCAATTTCGTGATTTCAAAAATAAAAAATTCAACAAATTTTGTCTTTAAATTATAAAAAAAAAGGTGGCACCAAGACAATTATTATTTAAAACAGGTTAAAACAATGAAAACATGGACGAAAATGTCATATTTTTCCTAAATGTGGACAAATTTTGTAAAATTGATTCAGGTATTTTAAAGTGCAGACGTTGGTGTGGTTTTAAATCTGCAATAAATAACATAATGTTTATTGTTGCTATAGAAAATGTGTTCAATCCCAACAGAAATATAATTTAAGAGCGCTAAACACTCCCTTGCAGTTGAAGAGAATAAATCGATGGCTACCAACATTTCCAGCAACATTTTCGAATATTAGCAACACGTAGGCAAAATTTCCAGCAACATTTTTGCCAGTGCATAATTTATGAGTTTCTTGACTCGCCGATGGTAAATGAAAAATGTAATGGAAAATTCACTTTGATACGCTGCCAGCGGAAAACCGAAATTATATCAAACACACATGCGTACCTACATACACATACATACATACATACATAGCTAGATAAATCCCAAACAATAAAGGCAATTAAATGAACGCTTCATTAGAACAACGAAGATGAGAGAGAACCTTAGACAACAAATGTTCAATTGTGGAGGCCTCCACCATTAACAAAGTTGGGCGCTAGAGCTCAAACATTTCACGCTCTTCATGCTGTGTGGCGGTGGTTCAAGTGGATCATCAGCAGTAACAATAACAACAAAAACACCAACAACAATGACTAGAACCAAAATTGATTAATTGCGCTTGTCAAATGCGGCTGCGCTGCTGTCAGAAAGGATGCCAGGCAGAGAGAGAGAGAGGAGAGAGCGAGAGAGGGAAAGCATGCGCATGCGCCCCACTCGATCAAATATTTTGACTGCCGCTGCCTTGGGCTGGGCTGGACTGGGCTGGGCTGAGCTGAGCTGGCAGAAGACAAATGCCTGGCGCTGCCCTGCAGGCACACTCTCGCCATCCCTCTCCATCTCCCTGCTGTTATTAATGCTGCGTTAATGCGTTTTAAATGAATTCGAATTACGTTTTTTCAACTTTAGCCGCAACGTCGGGTGGAGAGGACGTTTGCTCCTACAAACGAGGGATGGTTTAAGAAAATTTGCTCTCGATACATCTAATTATATTCTCAAAAGCGAAACAAATGATGTCAGTTATAACAGTATGTAGTATTTACTTATAATTAATACAATAATTTATTATTAATTATCAATAATAATTATCAATAGTAATTGTTATAAATAATAGACTAATAACATCTCTATCTATATAAACATTTTGTCCTGACTGACTGACTGACTGACCGACTGATTGGCAATCAACGCACAGCTCAAACGGTAAGAGCTAGGAAGCTGAAATTTAGACACAAGATCTCTCTCACAGTGACAAAAGAAGATGTTTTGGGAAATTCTAATTCCAAATGGGGTAAAACCGCCTATAACGTTTGTATGAAAAATCTACAATTTTCATCCGATTGACATCAAAGTTAGTTTGTATACTCTCATGAAGAATACCAGAAAAAAAAATAAAAGTAAAATTTAACCAAAAAAAAAAGGTTCATCAGCATACAATAACTTTACAATTGCCCCTCGCAATTCTCCTAATGAACTTTGCTTGTTGTCATTGCTCGTTTGATTTGTTGATAAGAGAGCAGGCGTTGAGATGAGCAGCATTATCGATACACTTACATGCATTAATATGTTTGTATTTAAAGAGTAGGGTTCATTGGCCGCCATGGCGTATAAATAGCCGTTTGTTTTTTCTCATCTTCTCCCCACTTCCCTACTCCTCTTTTATTGTGCAACTTGCAAATGTTTTAGCTGCGTCTTACGGCATATTATGGCATGATAATGGCTTCTTTTTTGGCCAATTGTTAATGTTGTTGCTGTAATAGCTGAGCGGCCAACAAAAATGCATTAACCATTAGCGCATATTGATTTTGTTGCCACTGTGTGTTGCTGTTGTTGTTGTTGTTGTTGCTGCTGCTGTTGCTGCAGCAGCCGCCACCGCTCATTGAATGGTTTTTGTTTTATGTTTTTTGTGTACCTGCCTCATTCAAATGTCAATCGAGTCACGCGCGCCTGCGCACCAAACTAACCCACGAAGACAGACATGAAACCTATTTCCCTAGATTTTCTTAAATGCTCACTGAACTGGCAACTTCTGCGATATGGCATTGAGCACCAACGGGGGACATCTGAGGAGGGTGCTGCCGCTTCGCCTCTCAATAAAACGGATAAGATCTTTCGCTTGGACTTTAATTGTTTTTCCCCAAGTATATAATTAATAAATAAATTTCAGCAGATGTGCATTGTCAAAGAATGGTTTATTCACTTATTTCTTGCGATTGTGGTCTCCACAAACCTAGCCTCAACCGCCTTCCGACTAATGGAGAATCTCTTATGCGGGCCTGTCTACTGGAAGTTAGTTTCAAAGGCTGTAAATAGATTAAATTTTCTATTTGTAAATGGTTTAAGCTCCATTGTATATATGTTGTACGAACTTAGAAGATGAGGGACGCCCCGGAAAAAGAATCAAAATGCGAATCAAAGTAAGAGAAATTGGACAATTCTCGGGGCTAGCTGAATGAGCTAGCAGGAATACCCCAATGTTACTCTGATCCAGAAAATGTTCTGCAGAAGCATGATTAAAATAACAAATAAAATCCCTACAGTCTTCAATCTGTAAGTGTGATCTCTTATTATAAAAAAGAAAGAAAGAGCGGCAGTTGATCAAAAAAATAAACTTTCCTGCGCACAAGAAAACAGGGGTTTCGAATGACAAAGATGTTGATTGTTCCTAGCACTAAACTAAATCAGCTTTTGCTAAAGGTGCTGGCTATTTATTTAAAAAAGAAAATGGCTAAGCGTTCCTATAGCAGCTCTATGATATAGGAATTACTCGTACGTAGTTAGCTGGTTCCTATATATATAAAGTTTTTGCGGGAATAAGTAGGTTCCTAGTTTCAAAAATACATACAATGCTTCGTTTTGGAGCGCTAATCATGGTTTCGCCCCCAACTTCGCTTCTCCCAGGCCTCCTTCTTCTGCCCATTACAATGGATATTTTTGGGGACATAAGAAATATCTAACACAAAATTATATAAATAGTCGTATCTCCAAGCTTATACCGATTCTTAATTTCTCTCATAATTCATAAATGAAATTGTGTGTATGCCATACACACGTTAATTAAGTTAAGCTCTCGGTCTAGCCCATAAATCTAACCCATAGTCAGCGTATTTTGTTTCTTCTTCTGACGCCTTTTATTTCATTAGTTCGACATAAATCATTGAGACATCCAAGTTGCAGCCCTTTCCCTTCGGCTCTTATTTTAAGAACTTTAGTTTGTTGTTCTTTTTCTTTTTTAGATTGCACAGCTATTTCAGTTGTAAGCTGCTAAGACAAATCGCCGACCCTTTGAGCGATATTCTTGAAGTCTAACAAATATTTTGATTTGCCTGCCCTACCTGGGACAGCGCAGAATCTAAATTAAAAATAAATTAATCAAACTATGCCGGGAGCCGTGTGTTAAATGCGACTTTAAAGAAGATGCAAGAAAATAAATATAAAGCTGCTGATAAAGTTGGCAAATTGTACTGTGAAGAGAAGGCGTAACCCCATGCTTTCAGATTGTTACTCGTAATGCCGTAGGCTGTCGAAAACTCATCTCACAACAAGGTGTTTTTCAATATTAGAAAAAAAGTATATCTTAAAAAGGCGCAGAAACAAATTCAAAACACGAACATAATTTGTCTTGAACAAATGTAAATAGTTTCAAAATAATTATAAATTATTAAAAGTAGGAATAATAAACTATAATAAATACATTTGAGGGATTTGCTTGTTTTATTGCTGCATAGACTTCTGTTTAAATTAACAAAATTGACAAAATGTTTTTTAAATTAATTTGCGTCTCCAGACCTTTCTAAATGACATCTCATTGTATCCCTACTTATCTTTTCTTCTTTGCTGTGGCAGGCTGGCTGTACATTCTTGCTAGCCAATCCCACATATTTATGGCTTGTTATTTGGATCGTTTATTATATAATCAAATAATCGAAACTGACAATCAATTAAAAGCACCATCAAGTATAGTTAGGCAGGGTTCTTCAATAAGTCTCAAGGAGATATGTGGAGTTCTTAACTGGAGTAAAAAAGAATTCATTTAATGAATGAGTATTTAAACTTTTATTTTATCTAAAATGTGGGAAAACTAGTATCTTATTTCAATATTTATCGAAATAAGCAATATCGGACATCCTGTCTTAGAAGCTATGTAGCTAGGCCTACCCCTCAACTAAATTTGTAACGTGTTTTTTAAATTTAATTTTGTAAAAGAAATCAATTTTGAAACCATATTGAAACCATATCTATATCATAAAGCTAGTGTCTTAAAAGTATTTGTATGGAAAACTAATAATATGTTTTTTGGGGGGAGAAGTGCATTTGCGAGCGTCTATTTATGCTGTCGTTGAAAAGCTCTCTTTCTTCCCTATCAGCAGAAACTATTGACGGTACTCCCATTAGCCAATCGGTCTTTAGCGCAGAATCAGTCCCTATTGGAGTCCTGTTCTTATCAAAGTATAGAGGACCGCATATTCCCTTAGGCCAGTGTGGGGAGCATTCGGCTCTGAAATATGATAAGCCAGCCCTATGTCTTGAATTAGTCTGCATATGATCCGCATAGTTGTCTGCTCAACTCTCCTCAACTCTTATCCAAACGGGAGT